AGCTGTTGATTTCACTTTTCAGAAAGAACTGTATGACATATTGAGGTCTACACTGAAGAGAAAAAATAAAGACAAGGTGCTGAAAGAAAAAGGGTAAATGAGACCATGTCCTCTTGGTTTTATACTGCTTTTCTGTAGGAGGCACTGGCTCCAGAGACACAGGTATCCATGTACGTCCAGAGCTGGTATCAAATAATTTTAAAAGCACTGCTGTACTTGCACCTGGGCTCTGCATACTCTTGTAGCCTTTCTGGCAAGTCCACGTAGACTGGGATAGCTTTAACCAGCATGTGACTGCTTGTTTCTCAGAGTCCAGGAGAATCAGGGCTCCAGGTTAGCAGAGGGAGAGGGCAACTGTTGGAGTCTTTCAGACTGGTGCATCTCAAAGAAGTCAAGCAGTAGAAATTGATGTTTTCTAATGTTCAGCACCGGTTCAACTCCAGGTGACTGGCAATGTTACCTTGTTGCTTAGCGGTCAGAAGAGGCTGCCTAAGCTGTGTCTTTAGGACGGCCATGCCCGTCCTCTGATCTGAAATGCTGAGCTACAGAATAGTGGGAGACAGATGAACAAGCAATGCGTCTCTTGGAAGAACTGCGAACTTTGGGAGCAGGATAAGAAGGAATGTTGTGGTGATGTGTTATAAACAACCAAATCTGTATCAGCCCTGAAAGAACAGGCCTTAGTGTGACTGCATAGTGTTTTTAAGACGTCTAATAGCAAGCCTGAATGCTATCCAGCAGACAGCTGGAAATGCCCTGGAGTCCAGAAGAAGATCAAATTGTCTTTGTCCTAAACAAATTAAAGGCAGCACCTTCAGTTTAATCTAGTGTTTGAAGTCTTGTCTCTCCCAGAAAAAGGCTTGATGAAGAAAACTGTTAGGCAGATGGACTGACTGAAGTGTTAAAATTGAATTAAGATTGGAATTAAAATCTAGATGTGGCCAGCAGTAATCGTATAAATTACGGGCTTTGTGAGACTGACTGCAGGGAGCTGCCTTTTTTGTGCTCTCCTACTTGAAATACTGGCTACAGTGAAGATAATTTGTATGGAAAAGGAGAAGGGCATTGCCTACCTCAGGCAATAATGCACTAACTTTCAGGAGACAAAATCTTGTCTTGAGGAAGGAACACATGATGTTCTTCAGACATTTTTTACACAGGATAAAAATGCATCACTCCATCCTGAAGCAGAGGATATCTTTTTTAATTCAACCCTAACTGAAGAGAGTGTCTTGTCAAAGGGTTCAATGAGAATTTTACAAGCAATGATAAGGACTTTCTCCATCAATTTTCCTAATTGCTGCAATCCAGAAAAACTGAGGAAGTAGGTGACAGCATGAGTTTCCAAAGTACAGCAGAGACACAAAAGGCTTTGTTACATACATTTAATTTTTTTAAAAAAATACCAGTACAATAAGATATTCAGCCTAAAAAGATATATATATATATATACAGTGGAATTTCAACTTACTAAGGGCCAATTTAATGAAAGAAAAGGACAACTAATGGACAACTGGAAAACAATAAAGCGCATAAGAATCATATGAATTAATGTATTATTACTCTAAGCATTATCCCAGATCCAATTTAAGCATGAAGATCTGATTTTTGAAAGCTGTTGAGCAATGTGCCTTCAGTAGTCCTGTCTTACTTTGTTTCTAGGAATATAGGGTACAGATATATTTTTAGATATATCCATTTATATCTTATACATAAGGATTAATGTGAGCTGTGATTGATATATTTATCTGTAAGTATCTGTTTATAAATTAAATACAATGTCCAGGTGTATATGACTCTTGCCATATCTAACTCTTGCCATATCTAAGTATCACCGGTGTGTTAAATTCCTCTGAATTCTTCAGTTTCACTCCTGACTATACAAGAGGGTACAACATACCCAATTTCAATGCTGTGGGCCCTTGCCAGAGGGGATGATTCTGTCTCAGTGCAGAGTCATTGGAGGAAAATACTTTGAGGGATAGAAAATCCTTTGTATAACAAGGAGAAAATCTTTTGAAAACGTGCCTTAAAAAGATGACTTTTCAGAAGAGCATTGAAAGAAATGCTGACAAGATGGGTAATAATAACTTTGATAATGAATTCCTGAGTAAATAACTGAGATAAATCAATTCAGGCTTTGTCCCTCTTATGAGGGACAACTTTGAAGCTATTCAAAAACTTGACCTTTTTGAAAGACAGTTAAGACAGTTAAAATACATAACTGAAAGAAAATTAAGTATCTACTTTTTGATGTTGAGAGATGGCATTTAGTCTCAGAACTTGAAACCTCATCAGTCTCTCAGAGGACTTTCAATTCATCCCAACATTCTCGTTGCATGCTGAGGTGAGGAAATTATTTTCTCAATTCACAAACTAATTTCAAAAACTCAGAGCCCTTTCCCATAGTCTGTCAGGAGCAGTTCTGTACTGACAGCAACAACTTTTTTATACCTTTTTTATTGTAATACGGGTTCCCAATGAAGCTAGTTCTTCCTTTGGAAGGTGACTTGACAGCCATAAGAAATCTCAGTATAAATCAAAGACCCATTTTCAGCCTAACAGGCTCAAATGACTTGGAAGTTCAGGTCTGTGCATGAGTTGTACTCAACACCCTAAATGTAGAAACATCATGCTAACTACGCTGTTACATTCAAGTAACATGACCCAGCCCATATAAAAGTCCTAAAAGTAATGGGCATTCGTTCAGGGCATCATGGCAAGGTTTGCAAGCTGAACCATTGCATTATTCTGATTTAGCTATGTTGGTTTGCATTCTTAAATAAGGACTGCCTTTGGAGACACTGCACTGTTTTCAGATGCACAGTGTCATCATACCCAGTGTCAGAGGAGATTTCTGTCATTAATTTGCATTATACAGAATTTTTTTTTCTAGTGTAACCATATTTAGTTAAAGACTGTTTCCATCTGTTCAGCTTTTCTGTGTCTCACAGGTCCTGGAGACTTTTAGAAAGTGTAGTCAGGGGCTAAACTTCTAAATTGCATCCTGAATTCCCAAAGATTCAGCATTGTCAGTAGAACCATTATAAGCTTCCAGGGTGGCTGACCTTCAGTCTTTTGAAACATTGAAGTTTCAAAAATGCATATTAATCATATCTATTCTATTGTTTTTCTCTGAGTCACCAGGTTTCCTTCAGCTGAGAAATGTGTTGAAGAAAATCAGCAAATGCCATTTGTTTTTTCCACTTACCCTTTTGACTTCATTCTACCAACTGTATATCCATGAGTACTTCATGTTTACACAGATAAAAGTGGAGACTTTGAAAGATTTTCTCTGACATGTTACTCCAGTGCCATAGCAGGAGAGCTTTATATATCTAGAGCTCTCCTTGCTTGATTTCTTCTACACACGTCCTCTCTTCACAGGAAACATATTTATTTATTAGACCTTATTTATTCTCACAATGTACACTTACATTTAGCACATGCAGGCCTAAATATTTTGAAAATAAATATTCTGAAAAGCTCTAACTTTGTGGCTTTTAAGATGTATCCTGTTTCTGCAAAGTATAGAAGAACCAGAGAAATTATGGGGAAGTTCAAGAAAAACAGGATTCTCTCACTGATGCACACATTGTATGGGCACAGAAGGCAGAGATTAATACTTTATTGTTGGAAGCAAGCATAGCTGTGTAGAGATCCAGGTATATTCTTAGAGCAACAAAGCAGGCCAGGGAGGCACCTGTTGTGCAGTCTGAAGGCTACTCCATTTTCAGACTGGTATTCATGAGGTGGCTGTGTACAAGAGCTTCTGGAAAGAAAGCATTCTCAGTTCCACAAAAAAACTCTCTATTTCTCAAAATTTTTTCCTCTTTCATGCAGCAAGAACTCTGTCCCTGAGACAATGGTTGTGGGTGCCAGGAGACAGCGGGATACTAGGAACAAACTTCTTGAGTCTGGTATGAGCTCCTGAGAATCAGTTTCTGTACTGTGCAGAATGGTGTAACTACAGATCAGTTCTTCCTCTTGACTGTGAAGTCCACTGTCCACTCTTCTGCCTGTACTTTATCTTGCAGTCTGGATGATATATGGACCATGCTGTTTCCTTGCCTGCTTTGGGGTTGGTGTATTCAAACCCCCAGAGTTTTGTAATTCAAAATTCCTGAATAATTGTTAAGGGCTCTACTGTGTCTGTGGAGGATAGTTTCATATCCCATTTACATGGGAATCAAGGTCCTGTTGGGTTTCTTAAAAAAAACTATCACCTTTTGAAATTCCAGTTGTTTCTGAAAATCAACAATTAGCAAATGTGTGTTCTGTATTTTAAGACAACAAGTCTGTCTATTGTTGTATTACAGGTTTACTTTTAGCTGCTGTGGGTGAGCAGAGTATCTCTTCTGCTTGAAGAAATACGTTGATAATGTTTTAGAAAGCTGATTGTTCTGGCCCTCCTGAGGCTAATTTTGAATAGCACTGTGTGAATGTAACTTTCTAGAGGAACAGAAAACCACTTCGTCACATTTGGACACTGAGTAGAACTGCTAACATGCTTTGCAGTCCCATTTCTGGTTTTTCAGTGCACACACGACTTTTTATACCAACCGCTGGGATACAGGAACTGTTTGTAATGAGCTCTCCAGAGATTTCTTGCACTATGTGCACCCTTGAGCTGTTCAGTCATGTCCTATGGACTTTCGTGTTTTTCTGTTACTGATCTTTCTCATTATCTATGAGTGCTTCACAGCTGGGAGCAACCTTGGGAACTGTCTGGACAGCCCAGTGCACTGCTAGGTAAAGATGAATTAGCGTCAATCCTTGCTGTGTAAACTTGGTATCACTTCATGGCAGAACCTTTATATGTATTGAGATACATGTGTTCCATTTGCCAAAACATGTATATCATTACATAGTTGCAAATGTACAATGTTTCTGTCTCCACATTCCTCCTAGTAGAATGTTGAATATTATATCAATAGCAAAGTATGAAGGTAGGAGATGATGTCACTAAAACAAATATTCTTCTTTATTTTTCTTTGTAGATTAATGCAGCAAATAATTTCACCAGTTGCAGAGACAAAGCAGAAGACAGTAACACTTATGAGCTTATGTTAGGCTTGGAAACTCAACCAGCCATGAGTAAGTCATGTTGTTAGACAGTTTTATTGGGTTTTGTATGTGCTGTATTAAGCATTTGAAGTTATGGACAGAGAGGGCAAATTTATTCTAACACTTTCAACTTCCACATGTTACTGCAACTTCCAGGGAAGGCAGATGTCCTAGGAGAAGGGGAAGACAGTTGGGGGATTCAGCTATGATAACAAAGTTATCGCTCAGTAAGAGAGATCTCAGTGCAACCACACCTCCTTGTAAATTCTGGAAATTTATCATCTCTACTCTGAACCCTGAAAACAGCTGAATTCTCCAAGTTCTCAGAGAACAGCCTTCAGATAAGGGGAGGCACTGCCTACAGGTGCAGTGAAGTCCTGTATGGAGGCACAGACAGTTGATGTTTTGCAGCTTGATGTTCATACTTCTAAGCATAGATTGTTGACAAGCTTATTGATGATCTGTGGTCATATCCATTCCCCTCGAAAACTGCAAAGTTGCTTATTTGCATTTACTGATAGCATATATTTTGCATATATCTTAAGAGTATCCTGGATCTATAATGCTAAATTTTATTCTCTTTCTATCTTGTTGATAATTTTATCTTTTTAACTGTCTCATACATATGAAAAGGAAGTTTCTTATTTGCTAAATTTAGGCTGGTTGCTTTAGCACATATAGGTGGATGATAGACACTGGAAAAAAACAGGTTAGCTCTGGTAGGTTTTCCAGTGTCTCTGTCACACTGTATATGTGAACACTGCAGGGTGGACACATGGAAGAAGAAAACAAATTGTAACAGCTGGCCACGTTAGCCAGCTAAATACCCTAACCTCACATTTGAGTCAATGGTGAAAGGCAGGCATCACCAAAGGATAATGCAGAATGGAAACCTAACTCAAGGGTTCAGTACAGTCTGATGATGCACTTGTGTAGTTACTCTGTTATGTTACTGATCTTGACTGCTAAAATTTTGATGGTGTACATAGCAGTTTAAAATGTACACTTTCGCATTCCTCCACTGTATTCTTGTTCTGTGGTCCATGGGCCACTAAAGAAAGAATCACAGAACTGTGGAATCATGGCTAGGCTTCGTGAATGAAAATTTTGGGAAAAAATGGAGAATGTGGGCATCAATCCTGCTACCTCTCGCATGCTAAGCGAGCGCTCTACCATTTGAGCTAATTCCCCAGGTACTGTGGAATCAATTAGGTTGTAAAAGACCTCTGAGATCATCGAGTCCAACCTATGATCCAATACCACCTTGTCAACTAGACCATGACACTAAGTGCCATATCCGGTCTTTTCTTAAACACCTCCAGGTGTGGTGACTCCACCACCTCCCTGGGGAGGCACCATTCTAGTGCCCAGTCACTCTGTGTAGAACTTCTTCTCCAACCTAAACCTGCCCTGGTGCATCTTGAGACTGTGTCCTCTTGGCCTATTGCTGGTTGCCTGTAAGAAGAGGCTAGGTAGTTGTAGAGTGATGAAGTCTCTCCTGAGCCTCCTTTTCTCTAGGCTAAACAGCCACAGCTCCTCAGCCACTCCTCATAGGACTTGTGCTTCAGTCCCTTCACCAGCCTCGTTGCTCTTCTTTGGACATACTCCAGGACCACAACATCCTTCCTGAACTGAGGGACCTAGAACTGGACACAGTACTCAAGGTGCAGCCCCACCAGTGATGAGTACAGGGGCAGAATTACTTCCCATGTCCTGCTGGCCACACTATTCCTGATACAGCCCAGGATACCACTGGCCTTCTTGGCCACCTGGGCAGAGGAACTCTGTTTCCACAGGTGTACGATCATGTCTCTCATGGGCAATGTTTATTTCATTTTAAGGAGAAAGCACCCAAAACCCCATTGTGTAAAAACAAGTACCACAGATATGTGAGCTCTGGCTTTATTTTGTTAAGTGTTGCACTGTGCTGCATTGAAAATCAAGTAATACAAATTATGCAGGCAAGGAGAGTGTATGTGATTTCATTCTGACAGCAGCTCTAGAAGAGTTTAACATTGCACGCACGAAGATGGCATGTATCAGAGTAGCAAGGTACAATGAAAACTTCCACTGTTCATTTGGTAAATATTTAAAAAGCTGTTCACTGGCAGTATGTATTTGACAGCTTTTCTACTGTATCAGTTCATAAAAGTTTTATTAGCCATTGTGTTGCTTCTGTGGGAATCCTTGAAAGAGGAAATGTTTCCAGATGGCAAATTTTAAATGAAATAATGCATTCTTTAGTATTAAAAACCAAGCAGAACCCGGGAGATCAATATGGAATTGGATCAAGATGCCAACACAAAGCTGATGTGGATGAGGAAAAGAAAGATGATGTAAGAGACAGCAGAGAGGAGACAGAACGTGAAGATCAAGAAGAGGAAGAATCATATAGCTTTCACAACAGTCCTGACAATTTGTATGCCAACATACAGGATGATCTCAAAGAGAACAGAAGAGATTGCTTTCTCTGTAAGAGGCCACCCCCTCCTCCCCCTCGAAATCTGCCTGGCATCCTAAGACAGGACAATCTGCACAAATCACAAGGTACAGTCTTGGGAGAAAAATAAGCCCAGATACAAACATGTACAAGTGCAGACTATGTGCTGCTGCACAGATTACATATGATCACTTCTAACAGAGTAGCTAGGCGGTATGACCCTAATGCTGCAAAGCAAGCATGTGCATATGCACTTTGCTGCATCAAGATGTTCATGACCAGGTCTGTCAGGTAATACTTTGGTATTGGGCTGTTGGGTTCATGTTTTCCTAACTATGCCTGTTTCAGAGAGCTGCCAAATAATGCACTGGATTTACAAGAGAGGCTTGAAACAAAAGATTGAGCTTGTATTTTTGTCAAGTTGCCTTAAGTATTTACCATTTTAAAGCCTTAAATACTATCTTGATTTAATATAGCTTGGAATTTCACAGGTAGAATTAATAGAAAGTGACCATGTAGAGAGAAGTAATGTAGTATTTTCTTATATTTTAGCTAATGTTATAGTTAGTTAGAAGTAAAAAGCTATATTGTGTTGCAGATTGAAAAGAAAGGGAGAAATTCTGACTGTGAATTAAATGCTTTCCCTTTTTTATCTTTTTTTTCTAATATTTATTCCCCAGAGTAAAAATCTAAAATTTTGTGTTGGGTTTGGTTAAAGTGATGAGAAGCCCAAAATGCTATTTGCATCTGTTTCAAAAGGGATGATCATCAATTTTTCTCACTGAGAAAATAAGTATGCAAAAGAATCCAAACTGAAATACCAGACTTAAATAGGGGAAAAAAGCCCTTCTTACTTGTTGTGGACACTACTGATAAGTGTGCACACAAACTGCTTCTCAGTTTCTCCACTGCTTATAACTGTTAACTCTGTTTTCAAATGTGGTGTAACCTATTAGAGACTTAAATTACCATCACCAAGCACTCTGAAGTTCACATAATTAGACAGAAATAGCTCTCTAGTCTTATAGCCTGCTATAGGTAGGATTTTTCCTGTGTTCTACTGTCCAAGAAAAAGCTGGCTACATGCAGGAATCCACAGGTGAATTCTAAGAGAAAGAGGGGCAGAATAAAATTAATGCTAAAAATACGTTTTGCTTCCCACAAAATACTCAACTGGAGCTATATGTGTGTATAAATGAGGGGTCAGTTTTGGCACACAGGATTTGTTAGTGTAGGTTTGATATAAATGCCTGTCTTGGAATAGGTCTTACATGGCTATACCATCAATGTGACCATCTCTGCCGAACACCAGCTGTCTGTATGTGGGTACCAGCAAAGAAAGTTTCCTGGCTTTGCAGTGTCCTGTACCAAATCCTGTCCTAGTAAAGCAGAGTTCATCTGAAAATGCTCCTGTGTGAAGAGTTCATTTAAAACGTGCTCTGAATTTTCCTGTGTTTAGCCATACAACATGACTGGGGAATGAGTTATCAGAATTCCTCTAAATGAGGATGATGCTTGCTTTCAAAGAGGAGCTCCAATGAGTCATTGCTATGTATTCGCAGTGAGCCGCTTGCTTTAGGAGTTGCTGTGGAGTACTTCAAAGGCAAGTCCCCTTTTCTTCAAGTCTGTGTTTTGGCAGTGGCCTGAGAGTGCCCCCTGTGGGAGTTTAAAAAAAAAGAATGTCCTACAGAGAAAGAAGCAGAACTTGTATAGTGACACGGCAACAAAATATCCGTATTAAATACGGCAGGTATATTAATCCCACTTGTTGTTTTAAAACGTTTTTATATCTTAGTCAGAATACATGTTGATATTACATATTATTAATACATCCCATTTATAAATGATGCATCCCATTTACAAAGGTATCATACTTTAAAAGGTTGTTTAGCTCTTCTGGACCCATAAATAGATCATTCTTTAAATAGCAGCCAAACGATTGAAAATACCAGTAGTGACCACAGCCTAGTTTAGCAGATACACATATGTACAGGCAGTAAATTACAACACAAGGAAAAAATGACTCAGTACAAGAATTCCAGGCAGGTCTACTGTTTTTGCAGGAAAGATGGGTAATCATCACAAGGAAGATATAAACATTTATGGGAACACCAGCTTCAGTAACATCTTGTAACTCTTAGAAGTTTGTGGGGGTTTTAAAGACAAATCAAAGCAAACCCAGGTATCGGGAAACTCATCAATGCCTTTTAATGCTGTAAAATGTACAAGTTAAAGGAAAGCAAGTTCTAAGTAGTTGTACTATGAAATATTTGAAATACAGGGAGTACAGAGAGACATTTGCAGGTATTTGGGAGGTGTTTGGGTAGTCTTAGCACAGATTATAAGAGGTCATACATTTCACCTACACTGTAAGGGGATTTTTTTATTTTTTTTTTTTTGACCTTGGCCTACAGCACATCTTAGTAAAGCCCTCAAAACCATGTGGGACATTGAAGATGTAGGAAAGACAAAATCCAACATTTTCTATGATAATTTGAGTTCTTAAGTCATTGTTGCAACAGGTAAGAAACAAAATGTTTTCCAAAATGCCAAGGACCACAGGTACCACTCACTTGGCTTCACCATGAAACAACATGTGTGTGAGAGCAACTGTGGCACTCTATATTTCTTTAAATAAGTCCATTTCTTTTGTGGCTAATAGCTAAGAATCTATGTTTGATAATCTGATGTGAAATCAGGAGGAGTCCCTGAAGTTGTAATTATTCCTTTGGGACGTTCTCTCTACTGTTACATGATCAGAAGCCTCTGAAAATCAGAGCACTTCAGTTTAGAAGTGAAATTAGGTCTCTGAATTACTTTAGGAAACTTAAAGCTTTAAGCTAAGTCCTAGTCTCCTTTCTTTACCCTTTACATACAACACAATTTCTTCCTTTTTCAGAGAGGAGTTTTGTGATGGACCGGAACAAAAGAGAACATGGTGATGGACTCAAAACAGGATGCTACAGAGAAGACCAAGATACATGTGAGGAAGACAGCGAGGAGGAACACCCATAACTGCTGTGAAACTGGAGGAATCTGTGTATGATTTCATAGGGGGTGAGGAGGAGGAGAAAAGGAAACATTGCAGGTCCTTTATCGTGAACAGGCTGCCAGCCCCTGCCCCTCATCCCACATGTTCACTGGTCAGAGAGGAGAACACGCCCTATATAGTACAAGGTGAGCACTGTTGCTTTGTCGATACCTTCTAGCAGAATGTAGACATCTTTTCTGTTTGATGAATAACATTTTCTAAAAGACTAAGATCCCTGTTCAGTTACCTTCAAACCAACACATTGTTTGTTTCAGTCAACCTATTCTCACCCTTCAAATGAGCTGAGAACATCTCTGAGTAATGTTAATTTTCAGTTCACATGTCAGATAGTATTGCAATTTTTATTTAGCATTTAAAAAATTATGAGAATATGAGGGAAAATTAAGAATCACTGGGCTAGCTGTGAGTGTATCTGTTCTAGCAATTGCCTTTTGGTTTCTTTACTGAAATGATTTTACTTAATTCTAAGAGAGAAATTTCAGTTTTGTTTTTTTTTTTTCTGGTAAGAACAGTAGGGAGAAATGCCTGTGTGAGAACTCCTCTTCCAAATACCCTTTCTCCAATACAAAATGCTAGAATTGGCCACTGTTTTTAGGTATCATTTATATTTCTAGCAGGAAGGATTATGTCCTTTTACCATTACTATGAAAACTGGGGAACGTTTTTGAGCTTATTCATGGAAATATAAGGCTGGAAGGTATTTCAGGTATCTTTGCATTCCAATTCAAACTGAAGCCAAATTTCAAAGTAACAAAAGGAATTCAGTGAACTTACTGTAGAGATCTCTGTTTCAGTCCCAAAAACCATGCTGCCTGCATTTCCAGCCTCCTCTGCAAAAACCTGCCAAGGTATAAAAATATACATAAGAATAAATGGTAGAAAAATAAGCTGACAAAGGGCATCATTAGATTGCTTACTGTGTGCAGTGCATGTTTTGCACTAAATCAGAATTAATACTATGCAAAATATTCCACCAAATACAGAGGAGCACCTCCTTTTTCATACCCGTCTCAGTCAGTGATTTCTTTTATTCTTTTTAGCCAGCTCTCTTCCTCCAGGCTGTATAACTCCAGGTTAGGGCCAGAATGCATGAGCTGATGTGGTCATCATTTAGTTACTCTTTCTTCAGCGTATTCAGGAGGCATAAGTATGAATTATTACAGTAGTTACAGTGTAGTCCAAGAATGGATGGGTATAGGGGGCCTGTTACAGCTATAAAAATCATGACATGGCTGCTTTTACTGAGGTTGCTGGAGCAGCATCTCAAATCTTGGTCCACCGTCATTATAGATAGGCCAGTGATTTGAAAACCCTTCATGTGAAGGTGCTTTATTTAGGGGATTGCTTTTACTGTCTATTATTGCACTGGAATATTTCTACTTTGTTTCCTCTAACTGTTTACTAAGGAAGAGATTATAAGAGGAACCACTTTGATGGGACTGTGGTTTACCATATATATATATTTATACATACACACACCCACAAGGTCTTTACCTTTGTTTTTATAAGCAAGTAGTAGTAGACAAATTAGTTTCCTGTAGTTCTCTGAAATCAGCCCCTGTCTGACTCAAGTTACTTTACTTACACAGAACATGAGAAAAGTAGAAGCGCTTCAAGAAAGCTTCAGCTGACCACTCAGACCTCTCTTTTGCCTACCTGTATTTCTGGAGTATTTCACTCTCCTGTTTGTTCAGGGATTCCTGAGATAGCAAGTGAAATTTCAGACAGAAGGAATATACCTTCCAGTAAAAGATTTTTCTTGCTACTTGGATTGGCAATTTTTGTTCTTCTCCACAGTGGTTAAAAAGTGCTTTATCCAGTCCAGCAACATCCCAGTTTCAAGTTTATTATATTAGAATTGCTTATATTCAGGAAAAAAAAAGATTACTTCATCTGTAAGAACCAGAAAATTTTGTTCTAGTCCATCATTAAAATCTGTGTGTGTTTGTGGCCATTCCTTTGTAATTTAATCTAATCAGTGTAAAATACTCTAGCTAGTTAGTGCATATACACATTTTTCATCCAAATAAATTGATTATACTTTTGGGGTTTATTTTCATATATTGTATTAAAAAGTGTATTACAGAAGAGGCAAAGTCAAATAATCAAAAGTTAGAATTGAGGTAGTTTTGCTCTTCTTTCACCCTGCCACAAACATTGCAGTACAGTAATAAATATGCTCCTATTTATCACAGATATTTTGTTTCATCTAGTGTTTAAAGTGGTTAAGTATGAAAAAGTTCAGTGTTTTTTATTCCCATTTTGTTTAAAATATAATTCATTCCTGCCTTAGGTCCCACATTTCAGACCCTCCTGTTTTAAACCCTTTGATTTGTTCTCTATCCATTGAGGTTTTCGGATGCCCAATATGAAGTAACTAAGATTCTTGAGATTTAACAGCATTAACTCATACTTTATTCATCCAAAGCCATTGATTTCAGTGGCCACTGAGAACTTCAAATTAAATCATTAGTTTGTCTAGTCAGTACCCTGACATCAGGGACTGACAAGCCTGATTGCTGGCTTAAATGACATATCTGACATTATGCTAGGACTTTGTTGGAAAGAGAAGTCCTGCTCTGCAGAGCAAATTTTAGTTCCTTAACTGAGGCATCCTCCCCTCCTCTGCATTTTCTCTTCATTTACTAAATACCTTTCAATTTATAAAACAAATAATTTAATATTCCTGTAAGAAACAGATTGTCTTCACTGCACAGTTCTGGTTGATCTCCAGAACCGTTTCCTTCTGGTGTTTAGTAAGACACAGGCCCTATGGAAAAATGGGATTAGAGAATGGAGCATGATGCACAGAGAAGGGCTGTGTTAAGGTCACTCACAACTGGATCCCTGTGTACTTTGGGAGTTAATGGAAAGAACAAGCTTCATGCCCAAAGGATTGCAAGGACTGTTGTGATAGTGCCATACAGAGATGCAAGAGGAGGATTTCTTTTTATGTACCCATAGATGGGCTCGTTTATTGGAAAAAGAAAAAAGGCATTATTTTTTTATATCTGTCTGGACAAATCAAGTAGCTGAATTTCCATGGAGACTTTCACCACAAATTGAACAAAGGCCATGAAGTTACAAAAGAGTATCTTTTCCTTTAAGCAGAAGAAGTGGTGTTTCCATGAAAATAGCAACAAAGAAGAAAGCGAGCAAATTGCTTTCTTTGTAATAAGCAGCTTCCAAATACATGGAATCTCAAGTTTACACTGGGCAGAAAGTCTGCTCCCTGTAGATTACCCCACTTGGTGCTCTGCTGAACAGGCTAGGGAAACTTGATCTATGGAAAACAAACATGGGACTTGACAAGCCAGTTTTTAGAGTCACTTTCAGAGTAAGAACTACAGTTAAAAACCTAGGCAGTAAAGACTCGATGCAAGTTGTCATAACTGAACTACCACAATTTACAGTTTGAGCATCTGACTTGAATTTGCTGACAAATAAATTCTAGGAAACATGGGGGAGTTGAAAGATTTAAAATGTAAGTAAAATCGCTTTTACTCAGTTTCATTTATTCCATTTTCAAATTTTAATGAACATTCCAACTACTGTACTGAACACTGGTAAACATATACTGCATTTTTAACAATCAGAGAGTGCATTTGTTCTTTAATTTAGACCACTGCAAGAATTCTGTCTTCTGTATGAAAGGCTTGTCAACCAATGGAGCTGAAAATTAGTGCCAAATAGTTTGTTGTCCAGATGGTGTGCACTCTTAGTGTGCTCCCTTACCATTCCTCAGGTGCTTATTATTCCTCTGTAGATATTTCAGTGGTTCTTTTTAGTTGTGTGCTGGCAAAACAACTGTTAAATAAATGTATGAAGACGTTGTGTTTTCATTTTAGAATGCAATTTTAATGTTCCCTATTGATACCAGATTTGATTGAGCTGGATACCAGAGTTCCTGGTGTATTTGTAGGGCAGATGCATGAGTTTCCCTAATACCCCCCTGCCATTTCTGAAGTCTGACCTACTAGACTGCCTCAAGGTCAAGGATTACATTACTGTCCTGGTTTAATCATTTACCTCTTATCACAGACCCCTAGTATGAAAGGGTTCTCTGCAGCAAGGACACCTGTCCTACACCAGCGTAAATAAAACTTCATATGCTATAGGTTTTGCTCCTTTGCAAACCTCTCACAACTCCCTGAAGGAAAGTGTTACCCCTCTGTGCACTGAAAACATTTTACTATTTAAACATAGCTTTCTGTGGGACCTCACACTAGGGTTAAAAGTTAGAAGTGGAAAAGTATGTTTTCCAGTTACTGTTCCAAAGGAGAATAGCATTCTCAGTGCTCATCAAAATCACAGGGTATGCAGGGAAAGTAGCAACCAGTGGATATTTTTAGGGAGGTAGAATATCTGACATACAGAATAGACAGTATAAACCCAACTGAAATGAATAAACAAAGTCCAGAACAGAACTGTTAATGTCTTGGAAACTTACCAGGCTGATTACTGGGAACTGTAGTGATCACATCCTGAGTCAGTAATTCTTATTATGCCAATTGTTTAAATGCTCTAAAGCAGGGGTTTCCAAAGTGAAGCCTAAGATTCTGTGCAAAACTGCAAAACATTTATGTCCCACAGAGGGATTTTGTAGTACTTTCCTACAGTGAGTATAAAGTACTGCACTGCAGATGAATTTCATTATGTATTCCCAACTTAAGGATGTTTTTCCATGAATGACACGATACCAGGAAGCACTGTTTAGCTGGCTTTGAGCAGTTAGAGTGTTTTTACAGAACTGGTTGGAGAGTGGTATACCAGCTTCATCCATTGTATTTATTCAGTCAGGTTTTTTGCTATCTTACCTTTGGTAGATTGAAGCACATACTGAATAAGGTGCACAGAGAGAAAAAATATTTATAGGATGCTGCCTGGTTGCAAACTAAACTCTTCCAGATAGCATACTTGTGGTAAAAACAAATAAAGAGTCTTCTCTTTTTTGTTTTTCTGTACTCAAGAAAAATGGGACTGACCAAACTTTCTGGGATTCTAACAGATGTGCAAAATTGGGAAGAGAATTGATGGCGAACATTTGTTTATTTTTGGACTAATAATTTTACATTGTCATTACACTGTAATTCTTTTTAAAACCATTCTGCTATTGGTCTGAGAAAATGGGATTTTTCATTCTCAGGCAACTAAGTAGCTGTGCAAGGTAGAGGCTGACAATACTCTGTGTAAGTTGTGATGAGTGGATGTAATGCTGTCACTGAAAAACTCAGGCACTGGGCCACTGCAAGTAACAGTGACGTGGCAGTAGGATATTTCTGCAAGTGCATTTGGTCTCACCTAGTCTTTATTCTGATGAAATGACTGTCGTGTGTTATCAAAAATGTTTTGAGCGTCAGGCTGAACATTTAGACCAGATCAGAATTTCTCTACCAGCTGAGATGTGGTCACTCATTTTCTTGCACTTGTGCACTTAAAACAGACTTTTCCCCTTTACCTTGTCATGGTGCTACGTGCATTCAGGTACCTATGCTGCAACGACAGGACAGCTTCTGGGACTTGAGCCTTTGTTACCTTGCACTGTGCAACCATCCCTTCTCCACAATAATTAGACCAGATTCATGAGGCATACTGATGCACTTTTGTTCTGTGCTCAGCTGCCTTCTCTTGGAAAAATAAAAAAGTCTGTTTACAGGGCCCCATTTCCTTAGCTGGTTTCATGTTAGGAGTCACTAGAATTTTTTTGTTTATTCTGAAATATGTGAAATATTTTGTGTAAGTTTTAGGAGTGGTTATTAGTCATCTTACAAAACTTACTGGTTAGTATTGGATTGATGACCTCTATCTAGTCCTCATGCTGAGTACAGTTCAGTGTGTTAGCAAACAAAACAGACAAAAGGAAAATGAAATCTAAAAAGATGGGAACAAATATCTGCAGAGTTCTCATCTCCTGAATAATAAGCATCATTCTACTATATTCCTTCCTTAGTATTCTCTGTGTATTTGTCATCCCTTGCTGTGTTACATCTAATTTACAATCTAATCCCTACCAGAAAAAAAGAACTTGCAAGTTTTATTTGCCTGGGTACTCTGCATACACAGTTTAGATGTTAAAATGTTTAAATACTGGGGAAAAAAAAGGAATGGGCAAAGATAGGAGTCTCTAGCTGCAACATATCCCAACTAGCAATTCACCCCTTCTTCTTCATTCTTCCATTAATCATTAATTAATTACATGACAATTCTAAAATGAATGAAGTAAAAACCTACTAAGAACAAGGAGGAAGCTTGCAAATTCATTGTAATTTTCATCTGAGTTGATATGTGTTAATAAGTGGAACCCTAGTGTATTAATTAATTTGAATTATCACTTAGTCTTGTGTTCATATAAAGTCTTTATTCCCCTGTATTTTTGTTTTGAATGTTTACTGAATAAAGTAGTCATGGTGATAGATAATTTTGTTTGGAACATCGACTCAATGAAGCTGATGAATAAATGCATCTTGAATTTCCTAAGCAAGCTGAATTCAAAAGAGTGATATTTATTGATTGATTTTTTTATTCCACTGTGTCTTTTCTCCTTTGTGTTTGGGCTACTGGAAGGGTGGAGTAAGTATATAAGTATTAGGTATGATTTGCTCATATATTCTTCTAGAGGGTAGGTTCATCAGTCTAGCTTTGTTTGAATCACTAGTGCATAGTGGCAAACTGTTGTTTGATTTTTAGAGGTAATGTTGCCAGTACAGCACGTAGGCGATATCCCTCATAGTTTAGATGGGTAAAGCAAAATATAAATTAGAAACCATTTCTTGGTTGATCATTGCCTCCTAACTGATATGAGTTCTCCTCTCCCATGATCTAACTGCTTCCACATTTTGATTACCTGTGTTTCTAATTACATCACTAAGCAATTTTTGAAATGTCATACTGCATCTGTGATTCCTTACTGTTACAACTTTGTGTTAGAAACTCTATTAATTCTGAAAATCAGATTCCTGTTCTTTTTGTCAACTAGAAGCTGTTGTAAAAATTTTCTCTCTCTCTCTCTCTAGACCCCTTATACCCCGCACAGTTTCTTGCACTATACAACACTGCTCTTAGTACAGAATTATACACAAGAGGCTTAGATTTTAAGTGTTTCTAACCCTTCTGTTTGTGGTGATAACCATGAAAATATTAACCACATTTGAAAATCATAGCATTATTTACCTGCCTGAAATAAGATCTGTAGCTAATCTGATTGAGATGAAAAAGGCAATTCAGAGTTCCTTGGATCCCACTCACTTTCCAAGCCTTACGTTAGGGATTTTCCCAGGGTTCTGCATATTTGCCACAAAATTTAAGTTTTGTCCCACTTTTTAAATGTTCCTTTCTGGTTTCAAGTCCTACTAGAAAATACTGCAGTAGTTTCATGCTTTCTGAGTTTGCTTTGCTGGAGGAATATTGAGGTTACATTACATTCCTAAAGAGCAATCCTACTGCCTAAGGCATAAAAATGTATTTAGGGCTTGCAAAAAACTTCATCTGTATCCTGTAGCAGCTGAAGAGAGGAGAGGGAATAAATGGAATTACTTATTAGTTCTCTCAGCCTCCTTTAATTCTGAGAAAAACTGCAAGGGAAGAAGAGATACGTTGTAGACAAAAATTATATAGCATATATCAGGTCAGGACATTTAATTTGTGGATTTTGACCTACAAACGTCTATAGGTACTTTAGCCAGTCACAACATGATTAAAAATTCAAAAGGACTGTCTTTCTGATCATACAGATGTTATTGAAATGTGCACATTAAGTATAAAAGAAGTACTATACCCTTTTAATCAGATTTTCTGTGCCTCTCTGCCACAGATTATATGTATATATAAATAAAGGATTGTGGAATTTTGACAGTTTAAAAAATTGCTTTATTAATCCTGCTTTGCTGAAGGTATATTTACTTTATCTTCCGTAAAGAAATAATGGAATATTCCTGTGCAAGATGACCTGTTTCTTTTATTTAACTGCTGTATTCGAGTAGTTCATAAGAATGTGGGAATGAAAGGGTGAATTGCTGGAGTCTTCCCTAGACCTATGGCAGTTGTACAGTGGAGTGTGCCTGTCTTTCCAGGCGTTCCAGAAACAGGCGTTTGTTTTCACTGACCTCACCCACACTGAATGCTTGCTGCCAACTAAAATCATTCCAACAAGATGCGGCACGTAAAGTGGTTTTAATAGTTCTACTTTTCACTGGAGAAGTAATTCCATTTCTGATTACTCCAACACTGCAAAACTCAGCAGAAATTTCAAAGTCTATCAATTAAAGTGCTTTCTAATCAGGCACACTGTTGAGTATGTCCCTTCTCCTTAAGCAGTAAAATTCAGGCTGCCTGCATTACGTCTGTGTTCTCATTACTTTAATTTCATCTTTTAAAGGAGAATACTATTTCAAATACAGAAGAAAATACTGCAACCATATTTAGCAGGATACTTTGAGAATGACAGAAGAGTATTATGAAAGTTAAAATCTGTCAGTGTTAGGCTGAGCTAGGGACATAACATCATTAGCTTATGCTGCCTGTGTTTTCTCTCTGCATTTAGCCTGAGAACTTTTTTAATGAACATCAAGTCCCTAGCTGTTTTCATTCATCATCACCTTCATACGAGCCTACGCAGGACTTAGCATAAAAACTTTGTTCTGCAGTATAGAAAACGCACCCTTATGAATTGCTCCTTCCTCACCTCTGCATGCAGCATGTGCTGAGTTTAGGTGTCACAGTGGTCTTGATCATCCATTTTACACGTTGCCGTGAGAGAAGGAGATGCATTGTACAAGGCAGCCCTGGGCAGGCAGACAACGTGCAAACCAAGCTCCACTGGGTTTCCCTGGTCCACAGGAGCAAGAAGCCAGAACTCCAGGCTACCACGCCAAGCCTGTTCTACTGCTTGAGCAGAGCTCCATTGTACTGGGCCTCGATCCCCAAGCAAATATTTGCTCCATTGAACTGGCACATTTGCTGCATTGCAGTGATGACAGAGGATTACTTAATTGGAAGGAATTATTCTAGATTGTCAGTTTGTTTAGCTAAAGTCAGAACTGAGACTTAAGAGAAAAAGCTTGTGTGGCAGTAGCTAAGTCAGAAATTCCCACTTTCTGGGTTTTACTGTACTGCCAGCAAAAGTTTGACGGTAGCATTTTAGGGCATATCCAGGCTGGCTGTACTCTGGGCACTTAACAGGAATGGGGATGATGGGCTAAGAGTGATTGTGCTTTGATGGTCCTACGACTTGAATAAAATAGACAAGACTATACACATACTCTTTCTTTAGCAGTGTCATTATTCTCACCTGGTACTATTTGGTTTATTTCTGCCTTAGCTTTCCCCATAAATTAATAAGCAGGCTACAGTAAGTGTCTGTACCATATGAAGAACTCTGAGATCTAGCTATTTCTTCTGAACAAGTAACATGTTAAGGTGATAAGTCCATTTTATTTTCTTTAAAGCTTTTTGTCATGGTATCTATAATATCAGTAATCCTGCCATTCTGTGCAATAGAACAATTTTTCAAGTAATTAACATTAGACTGACAAGTGGGTTGAAAAGTACTGCTAGGCTAGAACAAAAAATTTATTCCAGCCTGCTTTTATGAGTCTACTTCCTTTGTTCAGAATGTGTGAAAAATTGCCATTTTTCAACTTCCTTGTATTCTTAATGTTGTTGCAGTGTTTCAGCAAAAGGCCACTCGAGTGACCAGTGACAACAACAGGACATATTGCGACGCTAAGAAGCCCGGTACAGAATTTAATTTAGCTCTTTAACTGCCTTGATATTTTTCAGTAGAACTAGTAGAGATTTGCTGTGACTTGATTTTGGCTAATTTAGCATCTGTTTTGCCACCTGTGATTTATGTCCTTAATGGTATTGCAGCATTAAGAGATCAGATTAAAGAAAGAAGAATAAAAGTTATAGTCTTGTAGGAAAGATTTGTAGAGTCAGAGTTACTTCACATTTTTCTGTTTTCTTTCATTATTGTGATTAAAACCAAGAAAAGAAAAGACAGGAAGGCTCAGCTGTGCACTAATGCCAGCCATGGAAAGATGGCAGTGTGGGGAGCAACAGTTCTCTCCTGGGTACCCCAAGATCCATGTAAAATTAATTACCTGTGGTAATCCAGTTATTATTTGAGTTGCAGCACTTCAAAATGTTACTACTGTAAATTCTATTAATGGTACCCTAAAATAATTAACAATGTTGTGTACAAAATGAATAAACACTGAGTGAAGATATTTCCTCCTGTTTCAGTTATCAAGTAGCAGGTCAGGATTAAATCATAGAGAGCAGCACGTAATCACTAATTTATTACTGTACTGGGGAACTGCAGTGAAGTTGGAGAGTGAATGAGAAAAAAGGCACTGTGGATATTTTTTATGTCTTAACATAGCAACAATTTCCTTTAAAATGTCAGTACTCTAGCTGTAGTGGTAGAAGAAAATGTAGTGCTAGAAGGAAGTTCTTGTATGAACCAACACTAGTGGAGAATCCATGGACCAGGGCAATAGTAATGAACAAAATGTTTAAGATGCTACTCTGCTGCCAGAGAGTAATGGTAGAATCCTCATTGGTTTGTTGCATTTTTCATTTCTCTCTTTCTCCATTTTTTTGTAGCACACAGAGGCCACACTGACACAGCAACTTACAGCATCATGAAATACAACCTCCCTGCTGAACAGGAAGAACCCATCCACTTGCAGGAACAGGTGAAAAAGGGGGCAATTTCTGTGGATGAAGCCCTGGACAGATTTAAATGGTGGCAGAAGGAAAAAGAGAGACTACAGTATGAATCTGAAATTTGTTTCTTGACAGGAATCTTGATCAGAAGTTCTAGAAACAAAATCTTGTGTTTTGGCTCCTGCATGTGAGGTCAGAAATAAGAGTCATGGTTTATCTGCCAGTCAGCTCCCAAGGAGCTTGTTGCTTATGGTTCTGAATTTACTAGATACACATTTTCACTGTTGTTTAATTACTTGAGAGACTTCCTGAATTTACTTTGCCTGACTTCGGGTGCTGTTGCCATTGGTTAAAATCCCAAGTTAAATATGTTGGTCTTCTAAGACCAGCAGTTTCTGTTTGAAACTGCTAGGTGATGCTTAGGTCTCTGCATTTTTCAAGAAACCACAAACCTTATGTAACCAAATGAGCTGAATGTGCTATTGAGCAGTGTCAACTAACAGAAACATAACTATATCAAGCATACATTTATTACAGTCAGTTAATATATACCAACTTACACCAGGCTTATGCATATCTGAAAATGTTGAATATACTTAGTGGAATACAGAACTGTTAACAATCCTCTTCAGCTCCTTTGTATTCGATGTATGGAGTAAACTGAGGTGCACAAAAACAGGATTTACAAAAGCCCACACACTGAGTCACTGAAAGAACTGCATCAAAGCTGCAGGCTATGGAGAGGAGGTTTGTTAATTACTCCTGAAAAGACACATGGAGGAAGAGGTTATGCCCTCATTTTATATGAAGTCATGCATTAAGAAAAATATTTTTTGTTATCATTTGAGTCATTTAGTAGAAAGAGGAAAACCAAAGCTAGTCTGCTGCTTTGCAGAGTGGGAGAGCTATCAGTTGCTGCCAACAAGGAGAGATTAAATGCTCTTTGCATTTGCATCTACTGAAGAAATAGTCTGAGCTTAGTCATCACAGTGGAACACTTAATGGCAAAAGTGCAAGGGCCTAGAAGAGTTTAGCAGCCTGGTTCCCGGGCTGGGCACCAGGAGTGTGGCACTAGCTGTTCAGCAGTAGTGCAAGAGTGTGGTGGATGCCCCTTTCCAAATCCATCTGCAGCCAAGCACACAGATGAATTGTGGATATTGTTCTATCAGTCAGGAGAATTTCTTGTGGAGGAAGATGATATCTGATCTCTGCCATTATAGCAGCACTAAGCTATAAGTCTTTTTTTTTTCTTGGTAAACTATAAGATGACTGTATTTCAAGAAGGATTTACTTGGAAAAAGCTAATTTGTAGTGGTCATTTATGCCCTGCACTTGTGTGACTTCTCTTTGGTTTTGTTCCTTTTCTTTGGTTTTGTTCCACAGAAAAATCTTTTGTTGTTACCCCTCTATAAACATGGTGAATTTACTTCATGCTGTCACTGCAGCTGTCTGGTCTTCACTTGGATTTTTGAAGAAAAATTGCTTGTCCAGAACAAAAAAAAACCCCAGAACCCCAAGTCTCAGTAATCTAATGCCAGAATCAATGTAACTTACTGAGGGGGGGAAAATTCCACAAGACTTAAGTTATAAATGCTAAAATTACCATCATAAACATTTTTCAGTCTTTTAAAATTATTTTCCTGGAGAGAGAAGCTTGGTGTTCAGAATGCTAAAAAATTCAACTTTTTGTAGTCACTCATTATTTTTACAGTAAACTTCCATTACTGTTTTCTGCTGCTGGTTTTATGCTTGTTTTTTACTTAAAGGAAAAAGTGCATCACCCTAGAGACACCACTATTGGAAACAGACAAGAAAATTAAAATCTGAATGGTAAGTTGCATTTTTTCTGCCTTTTAGAACTCTGAAGCCTTGAACTGTAAGTACACTGCAAAGGTCCAATCCAAAGCCTTTTGGATCAGACATTGAATTTGTAATGAGCATTTTCTGTATCTGACCACATTTAAGTTATGGTAGCATAATCAGGCCTTCAGCAGAGTCAAGATTTCATCCCAGAGACAAACTCACTGAGAGTTAATGGGGCAGAAAATTTACCAAGTATCTGTAGCTCAGCTTTTCTGTAGCCCATTTCCTACTGCATCATCACAATTAGGGTTGATGGTTTCTTTAGAACAATTTGTTTGATGACTTCAATATTTTATTTGTAAATCAGCCATCAGTTGGCACTTGCAAATTCTTGATGAACTTTCCACTGCTACAGCAGTTTTTATGAGTATTGTGAGTCGTTAATTAAAAGTGCACCATTTGTCCTTCAAGATGCCTTTTTCCGTTTTGGGGGAAAAACGGACTTTTGGGGTTGTCCTGTGTAGGGCCAGCAGCTGGACTAGATGATCATTGTGGATGCCTTCCAACTCAGGATATTCTATGATTCTTTGTGATTGAATGTCATCTGCAACCGTATAAATCATCTTCATTTCCTAGAAACTGTTTTCTCTTGTTGTGAAAAGATTGTATTAAGTGGTATTGATTTTAGGTCTATGATTTCTGTAAAATTCAGTACATATGCTGAAACAAAAATTAGTGTTTCTTTTTTACATTGGACCCAGTACCATTTGTATATTGCTATTTAAAATTATCACCTAAATGTGTTATTTTGTTACTGCAAAAGAGAAAAATAATCCACAGTACTGCTTTTGTTATTCTCTTACACATTGTTGTATTTATATGGGCTTATGAGATACTGTAATTAAGTAAGGGAAAGCTACCCAGTGGCAGCTTTGCAATCCAGATATTTCAGTGTTAATATCCTCTGTGGCTGGTAGGGGTGCAGCTTCAAAAGCCTTCACAAGGCACTCAGAACCTGAGGGCTTGGGGTCACTGCATTTGTACCTACAGCCTGTTTTCTGTAGGCAAGGCAAAGCTCATGTCAACGTGGAGGTGATTCTTGGAAAGTATTTGTCTGGGTTTTTGTAAGGTCAGATCTGTCCTGCCTCTGTAGCTGTCCTCCCTCTCCAGAGTTTATTTATTGAATTGTATCAGCAGAAATGTAGTATCAACACCAGAATTGTAAATTTTGTGGAATTATCTAATAACTCAGATAATGATCACTATGTTCCCTTCTGATCTTAACCTCTTTGCCCTCTGTTACACTGTCGATGTCCTATGTCGCATATAAATCAGCAGCTTAGTGCTGCAGAAATACAGTGGGAAGAATCATTATGGAGGCCCCTGTCTTGTCCAGCACTGCACTTTACTATCAGATATTTCAATGCTTGAAAATAAGGGCTTCCTCTACAGCTGGAGGCATAGTGAGGGCAAGAATTAAGAAGGATGTCAGAAAACTAGTACTTAAGTCCAGACAGAAATACATTGCCTGGAACAAAAATGAAAATTATTTTCTCCTTCAAAGTTCGTAAGGAAAGCAGACCAGAGAGCATTAATTTGAGAGACTTTTTTTTTCACATACCATTTAATAAAGCAGTATATATGAATGTTAGCAGTCCTTAGATATGTTTCAAGAATTCTAGTTTTTACATCTGTATACAGACTCTCCATTCTGTACCTTTAAAAACATGGGCCTCCCTCTCCTGATTCCATGTTTGAAATAAGGATTTGCATAGTCTTTTTCATAGACAGTTTTTGAAGTCTTGATTGAGGATTTAAAGAGATCACATCAGAAGCCTGGTAGGAAAGGAATTTGCTTTTATTTTAATGAGAAAAGAAAATATCTCTTATAAATTAGTGTGGAACATAATTTTTAGTTCCTTGATAAGTTTGATCTTGCTTCCCTGTAATGAAAGTTATTAATGAGAGTGGCACTTGGTTCAGTCTTGAATTATAACATTTGATGCTATCGCAAAGTTATTTGCAACAGTTTAATATATGACTGAATAACACCCCAAAAAAAAAATCAACTGCAAAGCAAAAAGTTCTGCCACTCTTGGAGTGAAATATCTACAAAAGCCCATTTTAAGAATAACTAAATAAGGCCTGGAATGTTCATTTGCAGAAGGTAGAGGCACAGACAATGGTTTATCTCAATAGTGTATAATATATATACGGTCTGACCCATAGACATTGATAATATCTTCTCTTTTTTCCCAAGAAAGTAAATAGGATGTTAGCCAGCAGAAAAAAACCAATAAAAACAAATAACTCTAATAAAATTTCAGGGAAATACATAAAAGATTTGTGGACAAAAGGCCCATTTTGAAATTTAAGTAGCTGAGATTTTTTAGGGTGCACCACCAAAGTAGCCTGTTGCCCATGGGAAACTATCTGTAAGCAAGGCTCACACACTAATTGGAAAGCTGCCTTGCCACTCCTGAAGTACTACGGAGTAGGAGAGACAGCAGAGTGGAGAGAACAGCAGAATCGAAGGTTTGAGAGTCTTGGGTTTGTGCGTGTCCACTAAGAAAATGAATGGCAGCAGCTGAGACAGGATTTATGCAAGGATTACTAGACAAGTTTCCTTTAAAGTCTTAAAAAACAATGCAGCTTCCACATGTATTCCAGGTTGATACTTACTAGCACATAGGCATCATATTGTTTTTTAAACACTTCTGTCTGCATCATTGGCCATTTGAATTACCTATGAAAATGAGATTTCATAATCTGCCGTCTATTGCAGTTGCATTGTGGCACCTCATGTGCTAGATCACATGGATTTTGTCATCTGGCATCTAAAAATATGCACAAGATTGCAGAAACTATGTAAGATGGTTTTCGTTGCTTGTAGTGAGCTATCCTCTCATAGCTAATCTCTATAGAACCTTGAACAAGGGTTCAAAGGTCTTTAGGAATGCATAGTAAAGTGCAAGATTCCTCATCAAAACTGGGAATGACTGATGCTCTATTCTCCACTCTTGACATAGCAGCAAGAACTGACTAGTAGGTGTCACTGCTTCATTGATAATGAGCAGACATCAAAGACAAACTATAACTCAGATGGATTTCAGAAGACAAATACTGCATTAAACAAATGCTAAGCTTGATTTATTATTGTTGTTGTTGTTTTGTTGTTATTTATATGCCAGCAACTTATATAATAGTTTTAAATGAAGGTAGGTCTTAGAAAAGACTAAATGCAAGGTAAGTGGCCTGTTGTGGAAGGGTCAAAGCTTTTTCCCCAGGGATCTCAACCTTAACCATTTATTTCATAGCTGTTAAAATCAATAGGTACTTACACTGAAGTGGCCTTCATACTCAAGGACAGCTTTACTAGCTGTTGCTATAGACTGTTTAATACTGACCCACTCCTGTAAGGCACTATAAGTAACCAGGTCATCCACTGCAGTAAAGGCATCCTCCGCAGAATTTCTTCTTCCAGATTTTGATTTCCAAATTTGCAGATGCCCAACCAGCTGCCAAAGACCAACTCTCTTTCCCAGCTTCATCCAAAAAAACCATGCACAATGCACCTTTTACAAACTGGCAGTTTATTGATTACATTCACTATCCTAAATGTCTGGCTTCATTCCTCAACCCTCATCAGCACCTTGTTTTTAGTCCAAGTTGCTAATAGATTGCTTATTCATCAGTTGATACCACTCCAGCTTGCAGGTTGTGTCTGAGTAGAGTTCTTTGAAAACCCAAAAAACCAGCACTTAATTTTGGGCACAATAACCAGTTTCTGTTGTCTCTACTAGGTCAATGAAGATGAACAAAGATCTTAATTTTGACATTTGGATCCGTGGGCACTCAAACTTCTTTAGTCAGCCCAGTTAGCAAAGTTAGAATTACTTGGGATCCTGAAGCACATACAAGCTTTTGTATATGTGGAGAGTGAGGAAGTCATAGAAAAGCATCTTTTTTCTTCATTACCTCAACAGTATGCATTTCAGTCAGGACCTCTGGTCTTTAAAATACTTACTCATTGGTAGTTTACAACAGTGTCCATTGGACTTGTGAAGCTACACCTTTAGCCTGGCTTACTTCCAGTTTCATAAGTATTTTGCAGCTTCACATGATGTTCAAACTTAATATCAAGAAAATAACAGAAATCAGTTTCCTGCCTGTTTGTCAGAGTCAGGCGTTCATGAGGCAAGCTCACAGTCACGCTGTTGACTGAGGAGTTCACCAAGGCAATGAATATTTTTGTACCCCTCAGCCTCTCTTAATTGCCACTCATAAAGACCAGACATGCTATTGGGAGTAAGACTTGTACGTAATCCACCTCATGTCATTCTCCCACACAACACCTGCTTATTTTTGTGGATGTCTCTTGCTCCCCTGCTCCCAGGGACTTGTGTTGTCTTCACATTTGAAGTAAAATAAATAAGAAATTACTCATCCTAGGTATATATTTTCTGGATTATTCAACTTTGAAAGACTCTGTGCACCGAACTAACTTAGTGATATAAATGACTATTGATTGCATCTGTTTCTTTTCAGTCTTCAACTAAGAGCCCAACAGACAAGGAACATATGCCTAATTAACAGAGGTAAGAGCACATGTATGAATGTGTGCCACACACACTCCCACAGACATACGTTATTTGTCATGGAAACTAATGCTTGTGGAAATACTTTCCATCGGAGTGCATTTATGTAATAATAGAATGGAAGTGCAGCTCAGAAGTTCTGATTTCACAAGATAATCCATCATCATCACAGTCTGGTTTGTCCTAGAACTTTTTATCGGGTATCAACCTTTTCATGTTTACTGCACAGCAGATTAGCAAGCAGTTTAGGCACTTAGCTAACTTGTGAGTGCAGCTGAAGAGAGCTCCTGTTACTTATTGCAACTAATGCAGTTTATGCAGCTAAAAGCTGTATTATTCTAGTCCTACATACTGATTTCACATGCAGATTCAAACATATTGAATAAAGTTGAAAGCTATGAATGCAAGGATGTGTCCAGATGAAAT